CATGCAGTCTTGTGTCTCCTTTTTGACCAGATGTTGAATGGTCAAACTGTACCTAAAAACTGACCATTGCTGGATGTTACAATCTGAATCTGTGAAATGTAACCAGTCACCAAGTGAAATTTGACTCAAGTTTCAGGCTGCAGCTGCTGCAGTTTAAGGCTTGTGATAGCTTTCTGTGTTTGACACAACACATCTAATTCACCAGAAAAAAAATAGACAGAAAAATCTTCTTGAAATCACGCCAGCAAAACCAGATGCCAGATGTCTAAATAATTTCACCAAAAACTCAGCCCAAATTTCTTCTCGCAAAAGATAAGAAATTCCAGAGTGACATTTCAACAGGCTGTCCCCAACTTGCAAAGAGATTGAACTTGCCTGAAGACAATGACAAGCTCCTCTCTGTCTGATGTCACTTCCCATTTCCAGGCCGACTGCTATCTGCTGCTGGCTTCTGCCAATAATAGCTCATCAAAACAACACGACCCTTCTTGGCACAAAAATAAAGGCTGCGGTCCACGTCTGTGCCACTCAGTTGTCAATTAAGACTCCTCTTCACACTGACACTTGTGACTTAAAAGAAACAGTCAAGAATGTGATGAATCTGAGCTGACAGACGAGGAGGCAGTGCACTGCATTGCAGTACCATAATGCACTTGAGATATGGATAAAAACTGACACCACTGGCAGGTCTTATGAAGTTTGATTTCATTTGTCAGGCCTCTCCTACTTTGTCTTTTCAGCTCACTTGCTCTCTCACTTTTCAATCATCGTGGTAAAAGCTCACGCTGATGGCCTTGAGACGCTTGTTTTTATTTAAAAATGCAGACATAAATATAGAAGATTCTGCTGTGGGCAACATTTAGCTGGCGTCTACTTTATCTCTGGGTGTTCTAATCGAAAATTCGTAACGGTGAAAAGAAAAAAAGCGATCCCAAATTGATAGAAGCAACCCTCAACCTCTGTATTTGATCATTAAGCAGACAAATGGAGCGGTCCAAGCCTGCTTCGACAAATACCTTGCGTGCTCGTCTCCAGCCGACCGCATGACGCTAATTCCCAACTGAAGCACTCCCCCTGTGTTTCTCTAATCCCGCATGCGAAATGTGACAAGATCATTCTTTAGGCCTGCTTTAGTCAGAATAATCTGCCCGTCAAAGACATTCATCCCGACCTGCGCAGCGCTTTCAGCGTCATAACATGCTACCTGTACGTTTTCACCCTGGTTTAGGCTCCCGAAATTAAATCTAGACAAGGAAACGTGAGGGATCAGCATCTGGTGCTGCATGTGTGTCACATTGATTTTTACACCTATTGCGTTTCAAACTAAGTCTCACCACACGATGTGTCTCAAACTGATTAAAAATTAGCTGATTTATTTATTAGAAGAAAAACAGAATATTGAAGCTAAAAGGTGATGCTGGATGTCTTTGTTTCCTTGGGGTTCATTTTGTGTTCTTGCAGAGTAAATAACAGGTTGTTGTGATAACAGTTGGAAATAATCACATTTCTCCCCACTTCCTGACAAACAAATCAGAAAACAGTCAAAATAATTTGTAGCTGCAACCCTAATGAGCACAGTCAAGTCAGGAGCCACACTTTGATGTCAGCAAACATGGAAATGATTGTTCTGTGAGGCTTAAAGACAAGTGCGGTGCATTAGCTGTGACATAAGCCTCTTGAAGTTTCCACAAAGTTCTAACCCGGTAATACGGCAGCTGTCGGGTTGAGTCGAGGGACCGGTTCCAAGCCTAACAGGTGAGGCTAACTCCTCTCTACAGCATGACTACCACCCCACCGGGAATCCTCACCCACCTGATGGCAAGTGGTCGACAGCACATCATCTCTGCAGGCTTTACTTCCCACTCCTGACCAGATTTAACTAATTGAGGAGACAAAGTGAAAAAGAGCCTTCACCGGCGCCGATTGCACCTCAAGTTTTCCAGGTCTCGCCGTCAAGCTGAGCCTGAGTCTTCTGACTTTCGGCAAGATACTGTAAGTTCTGCGTGTCACCTCTGAGTTTGAGCTCTTTGCAAATGAAGTCGGCACTACACTCTTTGACACAGATGGAGGGGGTATTCAAAGAGAATGGGTTTGACTTCTAAGTATCTGAAATGTCCTGTCTTGAGCACATAATATCTGTAATACTTCTTGACACACTCGCCTCTAACCGCTTATTCTTCACCAGCTTCTGTGGGGCCTTGTTCCCCCCTTCTCCGGGCACGGAAGAAAAGCAGTCTATTTTCTTGTCATATTTGGTTGAAAGGGGACTCTCAGCTCAGAGTCTAATTTCCTGCACTTTAAAGACGGTCCACATGCAAGGTGCATTACCATGCTATCAAGGTGATGGGAGCAATTTCAAGCTGTCAGTCAGTCATGGAAATATCAGAATGACTTCATGTCTAGTGCAACCTGTCAAGGGCTCCGGCGAAGTGCTGGGAGCATAATCTGAGTTTTATTCACTCAGCACCACTCACTTGTAAGCGCGGCACTCCGTTTTACTTTAGTTCATAATGAGATGGAAATGCATATGTGTGCAGACATATATGAATAGGTGAATGAGTGGTGGATTTGTCCAGGGTGACATACAAAAATGATGAGGAAAATGAAGTTACCTAACAGAGTTTCAAACCTTTATGGAAAAGTGCTGCATCTGGTGTGATCCTGCAGCTCCTGCTTCACAGACAGCAGTTAGTTAAGGCTGTTAATTTCCTGATAGACGCACCGCAGTGGGTGACACGCCGGGGCTGTACTTAACCATTATTAATGTGACAGGCCTCAGTGCAAAGCAAATCAATTAAACAGGAGCAATCACCATAGTCGGGATAACAGCCTTTTAAGACTGTTTTCATATGACAAGGAGGTCCTGGATCCAGGCTTCTGTTCCAGGACCTGACAGGTCAAGAAAGCGGCATGAAACAATAGCACCTTCTAACCATCATCTCGCCTTTTTACCTGTCAGATCCAGTCGGCCCGTCTGGCTGCTGACGTGGCGCGCCCTGCGCCACCTGCCACGGGGGTGAATTTTCATGTCACCTGCAGAGAATTTCTTATTCTATTTGCTTGACATTATAATGCTGCATTTATCATCCATCCACTTGTGAAACCTATATGTCAGGAGACTTTTCGCCCACCTTCCTGACATTCTGATTGTTTCAGAGGGACACCTAGACTGGAGCAGGTCCACGGTTTCCTTAGTGGTGGGATGTGTACCCCCACCTCCCTTCCTGTGCTGCATGCAACCTTTAAAGTGTCCACAACAGCATTACTTTCACACTTCATCATGTGTTTAGCTGCTGTTACAGAAACAAAAGCTGAAGCAATCTAATTTAAACCAGACTGATATATTAGCTAATATATGCATTTTTCTAAACAGCCCAGTAGCAACCATCGGCCTTTGGAGCTAAATTACATGATTGTACATTAGTTTGTTTCAAGAAGAAATTGTTGCAAATGTCGATTTAATCTGTTTTTAAAAGAGACTGAAATTTGCACAGTGCAGCAAGCAGGGATGAAAACATGAATGCAATGAAAACCCTTTAACATTTTATGAAGTAATTCATCAAGAGTATTACTGTGCATGCCCAATTTTTACATTATCTTTGTCCAGTTGAACCAACAAAAGCTGTGGGGAACAAAAACTCCTCTAATCTGCAAAGTAAAATTGGAAAATAAAAAAGCACACACTTTGCAGGAGTAATTTTACTGCCCTTCTCACCTAATCTGTGGTTAATTCTGACCTAAAAGGTACTTTAACATGAAGAGAGCATGAATTATTCAATTGGACATCTAAATTTCCGGAGCAACCCGTGACTCTTCCTGCGTAATCGCATCTGCTTGTGTTTGCATGCGCTGCGTAAACTCCTGCGAAATGCAAGCGAGAAGAGTCCGAGCTTTGGTCTAAAAAGTAATGAATTACTCCTGGAGGGGAAAAAAAGAGAAAGAATCTGCAGCCATTTAAGGATAAAACCGAGAATTTGGTGTCTGCTGCTGAGAGCCATCCATCACGTCCACAATAAAGGAGTTTTTGCCTGACGGACGAAATTTATGGTCGCCCTTCTCTGCCCTAATAACTCAGCGCGCTGTGTCAGAGCCTGACAGCCGTTGCCGAAAACAGCACCCCTGTTATCAATCAAAAAACACTTGCATATGTTTAACTTTCGCTTGATCAGCAAGACATTTATAGGCTATTGAGTAATAAGATAAGTGGGTCTGCTTCGATGGGAAGAAACCTGGAACTTTAATGATTAATGGCTCCAGCAGTGTTTTTACGCGCTTTTGGGGGTGAAAATTAAAGGATTTTGTGTGAATGAAAACGTAGAATTTTATTTATTTATTTTTAAGTTGAAACATAAAACTATTTAGTGCATGGCTGTTGTTTATAGACTTAAATACATGTGTTTTGTGTTTTAAAAGGGCAGACATGCCTAAATTATGATGGACGAGTAAAGGAAGGAGAAATCTCAGGTTTTTACCACTTCTTGTGGATTCACTTGACCTCATTCTGACAGAAAAGAGGAAAGAAGGGAGGGGGAGCTAGCAGACAGCTGACAGATATGCTGGCATATGTCAGTATCCTGTCCTGTATGCCAGTTGTGTGATTGAGAGGACAGAGTTTGGAGAAACGTGGACCAAATGTGTGTGTGTTTTTTTTTATTATGACACTGATTTTTCGCATATTTTAATATTTATTTATGGAATTCAATCAGATGCACTGTTTCATACGAGGAAACCTCAGGTTTGATCAGATATGGAACAGGCATGCATGTTTGGGTCATCTAACATGAATGTTGTAAAAATATATATCAAATTGCTCCAATTTCTAATGCACGTTGTGTTCGGTTCAGTTTAAATCGGTTATTGTGGTCCTGAAATCCCCCGAAACACACGCACACAGGACTCATCAGCAGCGCATGCGTAAAAGTTGCCAAATTGCGCAAATACGCAGATAAAAAGATCTCCGAATTAAAAAGCGCTCATTTGAGTGAAAAATGAAACGGACGCCATGTGTGAGGTGGAAACGTCACATTACTTGGAGCCTCCATCACTTTGGGATCTCCGTCTGATTGGGAGGGCGCAGAGAAAGCGATCGTCTGCGGACTGATTCAAGACGGCGCTGGAGAGGAGGCGGAGTGATCCGTCCTGTCAGAGATACGCGAGTTCGCTCTCGGACCTGAAGCCACACTGTTACAGCGTCGCTGGGGATGAAGCACTGCTGCTGCGAAGCGCACGGATTCAGACTACTCCTCACGCGCTGGTTTTAAGGATTTTACTTTTGTTTTGTTCCAGGAAAAGGCTCGAGTCTCCAAACGTTTGGTAGTTGGGTTGTTGTTTTTTTTACTCGACATATGTATTTTCCAACCATTTTTACGAGAATTGGGTCATGAGCGCATCGCCCACGGTCTCTGTCTTGAGAAATAGCACGAGTCCGGCGTGGGAGAGCGGCTCCTCGGGGGAGAAAGGAGCAGCGAAAATCAGCCAACTGTCCGTTTACAACTCCGTCTGTCCTGCAGACCCTTCTCGCCAAGCCAGTCGTCTTCCCATCAAGATTTTGAAAATGCTCACGGCTCGGGCGGGACACATTTTACACCCGGAGTACCTCCAGCCATTACCCTCCACTCCCATCAGCCCCATCGAGGTAAACGTCAAAGCGATTTGGTGAAAATAACATTTTCGCTCGCGTGCATTATGTAAAGTTTTGTTGTTGTTTTTTTTTAACCAAAACATTCACAAAACCTCCCGTCAGAGTTCCGTAATTATGGATCAATTCATTTATTTTGAATTTTCCATAGAAAACATCCGCTGTCTTTTATCTGATTATTTTTATCCCAACTTTGGACTCACTTTACTTAATAACACAACAGAAAATACGTGTCTATATTTTGCTTTCGTGTTGCACAAGCGGTCTTACTGAATAAATCGGGCTTCGGTTTCTTCCTGAGATAAGTTTATGCGCAGTGCGTAAAATGCGCGGAACGGTCACCTTTCTAAACATGCGATGCAGTTTCACAGCTTATATGGTTATAAATGAATTGTTTCACATTCTTCACACATTTCAACATGATTTTTATTTTGCAGCTGGATGCCAAAAAGAGTCCGCTGGCCCTTTTGGCTCAAACATGCTCGCAGATTGGAAAACCGGACCCGCCGTCCTCCTCCAAACTCTCTTCTGTGGCCTCAAACGGATCTAGTGACAAGGAGACAAAATCCGGACCGCTGAAAATGAGCGACATCGGAGCCGAGGACAAATCCAGCTTTAAACCTTACTCGAAGTCGTCAGAGAAGAAGGACTCGAGCAGCAGCCTCAATGGAGATAAAACCAGTTTCCGAGTGCCTAGCGCCACCTGCCAGCCGTTCACGCCCAGGACAGGCAGCCCCAGCTCCTGCACCTCAGTTTCCCCTATGCCGTCTGAAGGCAGGGCTGGGGACAAGGAGGAAAAGAAGGACTCTGATAGCAATAAAGGCAACGCGACAGAGAGCGGTGGCAGCCAAAAGATTAACGGAATTACCTCTGATGGCAGCCAGCACCAAGAAAACACATCTGGATCCAAGACTGTTACATCCGACTCCACATCTGTAACCTCATCCGCCTCCGTTCTCAGCTCTGGACTGGTGGCCCCTGTCTCTCCATATAAGCCAGGCCATACAGTTTTCCCCTTGCCGTCCGCTAGTATTTCCTACCCTGGAAGTTTAGCAGGTGCATATGCAGGTTACCCACAGCCGTTTCTCCCACCTGGAATGACCCTTGACCCCACCAAATCCAGCAACCAGCTCTTAAGCGCCCAGTTTGCTGCTGCCAGCTCTTTAGGGTGCAGTAAAGCCGGAACAAGCCCTTTGGCTGGAGCATCCCCGCCGTCCTTAATGTCTGCTAGTCTGTGTCGAGACCCCTACTGCCTGAGCTACCACTGCACCAGCCATCTGACCGGCGCGTCTGGCGCCAACTGCTCACACGACTCTGCCGCCGCTGTTGCAGCTGCCAACGCTCTTAAATCCGGATACCCACTCATGTACCCAACACATCCATTGCACAGCGTTCACTCTTCTGCCCCATCTTTTACAGGACACCCTTTGTACCCTTATGGCTTTATGTTGCCCAATGACCCTCTGCCACACGTGTGCAACTGGGTGTCTGCTAACGGACCTTGTGATAAGCGCTTTGCGTCCTCAGAGGAACTCCTTGGACACTTGCGGACTCACACGGCCTTCGCCGGCACAGAGAAGTTGATAACTGGATACCCAGGGTCGACTTCTCTTGCAAACGCTGCAGCAGCCGCTGCTATGGCTTGCCACATGCATATTCCTCCAAACGGCAGCCCAGGCAGCCCCGGCACGCTGGCCCTCAGGGGCCCCCATCACCCCCTCGGACTAAGCAGCCGGTATCACCCGTATTCAAAGAGCCCTCTGCCCACTCCCGGGGCTCCGGTGCCAGTACCTGCAGCCACCGGGCCCTATTACTCCCCATACGCCTTGTATGGACAAAGACTGACGACAGCCTCGGCCTTAGGATACCAGTGAAGAACAAAGAATTCTACATTTATAAAGGAAATTTAGGCCTAATGAGTTTTATATTGTATTTCATGCAGGGACTGGATCCATGTTGGGATCAGTGTATTTATTTGCGATAGCTTCAAGCGTGACTAAAATAAAAAATAATTATAATATAAATTTGACATGCCTGGATGTGCATTATTTTACACAGGAGAAGTTTGCATTTGAAGATGCTGGACTTGATTTCTGGTTTTATTTTCTATTCTGAAACCAAAGCGCTCTGACTCCAAAGTAAAGGCCATCTTTGTGCTGCTTCACTCGGACAGATTGGGCTGCTGCACAGGGTTCTGACAGCCTGATGAACGTGGAAAATAAAATCAATCAGAGCAACTTCTTCAGAAGTGGAATTGATTTATTCTGTCGGCAGCAAAACCTGCATGAAAGCCTCCTTTTACCACCTGATATTTTTTAAGTGCCACAACACAAACTGTTTACATTTGCTCACTTGCTTTATTTTAGATGGAGAATTTTTCATAATAAAGTAACTGAAATGTAAACTATATTATCCTTTTTTTATATTTCTGATGTGCATTGGGGTTTCAAAACGCAAGCTGGATTAAAAATGTATGATGAGTTCTGAAATCATTCTAGAAAAACATGTTTCTTTTATTTGCAGCTGCAGCTTTATTGCCACGAGGATAACCACAGGCTTTGCAAAAGGCCGCTACGGAGAGCCAACATTTGCACGTTTTTATATTAAACAACAAATAGCATCTGCACACATTCCGCAACTGGCTTTCCTTAAACATAAACGTAAGCCAAAGCTTGATACTGAATCTTCTCAAAAATTTCAGCTTATCGACTCATCTATGAAGACAAAAGAGCTTTTAATGTGAGCCAGAACGTCTCCAAAGAAAAATGTACGACACAGATGTTGGGCGCTTCCAGAGCTATTGTGATTACTCTAATGAGGACTTGAAGCACAGAGCATGAATAACACGGAGTTTAAGTATTTAATCAGTCCGTTAAAACAAATCAGCTTAATCAAGCCAAAAGTGTCATTATTTATCCTGTAAATTCAGCTGCCATCCAGCGATGACCACGGTCAGACGTTGTATGCATCAACTCCTCCTAACCGTCACAGAGGAGGGCTAAACATAGCTCAGTGATGGATGGCAATAAAGCCGCTAACCCCACCGTTCAGCGCCGCAGCCAGTCAGCCATGAAGCCAACGTGGGTCATCTGTAATGCGTTTCTGCTCACTTACAAACAGCACCTTAATGTCATGAGAACAAATGGGACTGAGACCCAAAGAGTCATATCTCAGATCTTAATTGATGAGCGACAGTTATGGAGTCACACATAGTCACATATGAATCAGTGCAAATACCGAGAAGGTTAGGTTTTAAGGATTAAATAGGTAGAAGGTTTTTGCACTGGGACATTTTGACGACAAGATTTAAATATCAACGTGAGCTCGTGTGATAATTTTAATTGCATTTTTAAAAAATCTGTTTTTCTGGAAGAACAATAATAACTCTTACTCGCTGACAAAAAGACCAGAAAGAGCAAAATTACAAACTAAACGTAAAGTACTGAAATTCACTAAAGGAAGTCAAAGTTATTGACTTTAAAAAAAGTATTCACTTGTATATGTATATATGTGTATATATATATGTGTGTGTGTGTGTGTGTGTGTGTGTGTGTGTGTGTGTGTGTGTGTGTGTGTGTTTGTGTGTGTGTGTGTGTGTGTGTGTGTGTGTGTGTGTGTGTGTGTGTGTGTGTGTGTGTGTGTGTGTGTGTGTGTGTGTGTGTGTGTGTTAAGCTGCAGCCAAATCATATCACTTGGTAACATGTTTTGTTTTACAAATACTAACCACAGTGTTTCCCCATAAAAAGTGCACACACACACACACACACACACACACACACACACACACACACACACACACACACACACACACACATCCATCCTTGTAATATTAATTATTAACTATTTATTGAAGCTTAGTTCATATAAATACGGTAAGCATGAACCTCTTTAAAGCTTAATGTGTTTGGGAATTAGCTATAATGTCTTTATAACAGCAATTACAGAAAGTCAATAATAATAAAACATATTTTATTTTATTATTTATTTCTTTTTGTCAGACACACCATTGTTAGATATACATTAAAAGGTATAAATAATACTTTAATTGCATTGTTGGCACAAAATGCTTCTTTAAAGCATATCAACGTAAATTACATCAAACACAGTTTAATTAGACACTTTAACATATATTAACCATGGCTTTAAACTGTATAAACTTGTGCGAATATTTAGAGGGGCTATTTAATCAAAAATACTGAACACTTGCTTTGTGACAGGGTTGACCTCTGTGTGCCTAAGCAGTTTGGCCCACGGTTTCCCATTTCACCCTACATACGGTCTTTAGTTCAAACGACAGCTACAAAGTCACGGTTGGCCAGGGCTAGTGCAGCACGGCTAGGAGGAAAACATCCACCAGAGGATGAACAGGTCAGAGGAAAGCAGCTTTAACAGACGTAGATTTGTGTTAAAACTCAGCTGCACGCCACGTGTTGCTCTGCTTGTATCCCGTTACGGCTGAAGGCCGTGGACATCATCGCCGCTTCGCCAAACTCGTGTTCCTGCTCAACAACGCCCCGTGGATATGCTATTTAGTCCGTGCACAAAATATACATCAAGCAGCTTTCAAACACCTGTCACAAATGCTGCAATCACATAATGAATTTAACACCGTTTTGTCAGAAATATTAATGATGCAATCAAGGCATTTCCCATAGTTACACAAACATTTGCTGTGTTGAGTAAACTTTCCTCTCTGCTTATGTTCTTTGGAAATTCAAGCAAATCTCTGTTTATAGACACAAGGGGGAAAAAATTTACCTTTTTCATGTTCAGTCAGTTGAAAAGTGCGTCTTTCAGGGAAACATTGCGGTTTATTTTTGCAGGAGAATGGCTTTTGCTTCTCCAAACATGCACCAAATTTATCATGGGTCCATCATTTCCTCCCTCTGACAAGCAAGTAAATGTTAGGATTACAAAGCTGAAGCTGGGTTTTACCAAAGCATTGACCTTTGTCGTTTACCTTCATCCATAAATGTCATATCATAAAATTAAAGAAATAATCGTGGTTTAGCTGAGATTGTGGTGAAGTGGGAAACTTTGTGCGTCTTCCAGGCAGTGGGATGCAGAAGAGAGGGGAATTTCTTTTTGAAGAAAGCTTGTCAACACACAAATCAAAGGAAAGAGCAACAGTGAGTTAAACAGTGGGCCCTTGTCTTTCAGCGCTCAACATGCCCTATAATTTAAACACCACTGACAGGGGCCATTTTGAAGGCTGTCATAGGCGGCAAACATTTTGTCTCCGAACGTCTTGCTCACAGTGAGTTGACTTCTGCGGTTTGGGTGATTAATGACTTATGGCCTTATTGTGTGGAGGTGGCTAATTAACTACAGGCTGACTGAAGAGACACACCATGAAAACCCGCCTCTGATAACCCCAACATTTTTCCCGCTTTCCTCTTCTTGGCATGTGGAAGCTCTTACTGACAAATTTGCAAGAAGCAGACCAGCGTTGAGTAAGATGAATGGCCTCTGTGAACAGTAAAAGGCCTTTAATTTAACAGTGTTTAAATGTATGACACACTGGCATTGTGCTTTCGCACTGTTCGTGCTCTCTGGCTGAGAAACGCAGCCAAAGTTCCCCCGCTGTTCGGTTAAATTTAGGTTTGGCATATTCATGAAGGGAGTTTCTGGATACCCAGGCTGGCAAACATGTGTTCGTTGCCTCTTTAGGTTTTTGCGGTTTCTTCAGTCTGACGTTCAAAGACAAAGACAATCAGCTTCTTTAGTATACTGGTTCTAAACACACCAAGCCTGTTTTATGGAGATCTCATGTGTTAGCAAATATGGTCCTTTCATGAAGCTAGCAAAAACCATTTATTTCTTTAGTTTGGAGGGATATTTTGGGATATTTTGAAGCTGTGTAAAATGAAATACTTATCTTAACCTAGATGGTGTCCTGTTTTTCAAATACATGACACTTCCTTATTGTTCATGGTTGAAAATCCTACACTGTACCACCGGATGCACAGGAAGTGCTACGTCTGGCTGGCAAGAAGTCTAGAAAAAATTTGTAGCAATAGCTAAAGATTTTGCTCTGCATGTCGGTCTAGAACAACAACAAAGATTACGTCTGCTCAGAAAGAGTGCTTGTGTGAAGCAGCTTTGGACTATGTAGACTCAGGCTTTTCTTTGAGACATGAGCAGATAGAGGTATTTAAGTCTTTTATTTTGAAAAAGGACAGTGTCTGCGGCGTAAGCACCGTTGGCTAATATTTGTAACGATGAATATGCCATGTTGTTCGTTGCTCTGACTGGTCCTAGATCTGTCCAAGACAACCATACATTTCGCCCCATGACCAATCTGTGTTGCATGTGACGTCACGCCGCTCATGGAACCACCCCCTTTAAACACGTTGAAACTCGTGTGAAGCTAGTCAAAACAAGCCAGTCAAACCTTTTGTTGATTTTATTTGATTTCACAGTAAAATGGTAATAGTTCTTGTTAGTGCTGCGCAGTTTGTCTGCACTAACAGACAAGAATGTAAACTCCACTCCTTTTTTGTTTTAATAACTTTGATGGAGACTGAGGATGGAGACGAACCGCAGCAATCATTCAGATGGACTAGCAGCCCTCAAAGTATTTTTGGATTTGCAGCAAACATGTTTCATGAGGAAGATGGGGACTGACTGTGATGGACTTGAAATGATTAATATGATGTGTTTATATTACTTATTTAGTATTGATAATTTAATATTTCACCATGGAGGATGTGCTGTAGTGAAATTTGTGCTGTTTATTTATTACAATAATATTGTACCAATGTAGGATTGTGTGTGTTAAAATTACATTCTTTAGTATGATGAGCATCTCTCTTATGAGACTTGTCTAATCCTTGAGTGAGTGTGTCATCTTAACCCAGTTAACCCACCAGTGACAAAAACTGGGAGAGATCTTGACTTATTATTTTTTTAATTTGATCTAGTGTGAAATGAATCACCATTTGTCACACAATGTTATAAATCCAGTGGGGTGAATTCTGGAAAAGTCAGCAACTCGTTTACATTGGTGAACTGCAGCAGAGAGAACATTAGCTACATTTCATAAGCTAACACTCAACTTGTAAATGCTTAATGAGCCCCACCTAGGTGTGCCAAACCTTCCCACAAGTGAACCAGGCTTGAACTAGTAGAATCCGGGTGAACTGGCAAAAAATAAATAACCTCAGTTGCCATGTTTCCTCTCTGTTCAATACTCTTGTAATTCACAGTTGCCCCACCCAGGTGCACTACTTCTTCCAATAACTGAACTGGGGTTGAACTAGTTGAAGCCATGCTAAACATTGCAAAAAAGCAACAAGAACAACAACAACAACAAACAAACATTCTCAGGCACTATTTTTTCCTTTGTATAGTTATCATGTTGCTCACTGTTTACATGCTTTTGCCAACCAATATGGTGGGCCC